AATCTGTACGATCCGGATCCGATTTTTGAGTGAGATCACTGTACATCTAGGTGTGCGAGATGTGCATACATATATTTAGAGGAAAGATTACATTATAGAGCAAACAAATAAAAACAGCTTCCCAAAAAAAAATGTTTTGTCACTTCTATAAAAGGTTAAAAGTCCTTTTAACATTTCAAATACGATATACATATGTACAGCGAGTTTCAGTCAAAATTGTACAGTAAATTTTTTTTTCATATTTTGAAAACATGTTTTTTTTTTAATTTTATAAAAGTATAGTTCTTACTACAACAGAATCCATGAAAATAAAGTTGCTCTATTTGTAACAATTAAAATAAAAAATCGTAAAATTTTTATCAAAATCTCACACTTATTATTCAGTATTTGTAGCACTTGTTCAAGCGTTATATGGAAGAAAATACGCATCACCATCACAAAAAAAAATTGCAAAAAATCAACTGCAAACTTGCACTTTATTACAAAATTGCATACCCATGAAAAACTAAAATTGTGAATAAAGTGTGAAATTTTGATGAATATTTGACAATTTTTTTTTAATTGTTACAAACTTAAAACAAAGTTAAAAACTTTAAGTTTAATGGATTTTGTTGTAGTATGAACTATGTTTTTATTAAAGACTAGCAGACCCGGCGAACTTCGTCCCGCCCAAAATAAATTTTTTTTTATTGAAACATTTTGGTCCAACATTTTCACCAAGAATTCGCATTCACGATTTCCAGTGGAACATTTATTTGGTAAATAGTATGCAAGTACTAGATTCAAGCATAAAAAGACACACATTTAAAAAGTAGGAAAAATGTAATTTAATGTCTAACCAGCGTTGGGCAAAATTTATTCGAATAACAAATAAAAAAAATTGTTTCGAGTCAAACAACTAATATATGTATATAGATATGTACATATATGTATTTATGTGTAAAAATATAGCCGTTTTCGTTGTTCGGAATTAACTCAAACCCCTGGATAGATTTAATTCAAATTTTCGGAAGGAATAATCCTGCGCATTAAGTCCTATTAAAGGCTACTAGAAAAGTCCTTGGCGACGATGGAGCGGAGTTGCTTACAAAAGTGGTATTTTTGAACTGATTTCTTCCAAATTCAAAATGGGTTCTAACTGCATGATAAAAAATGGACCCGCTAGCTACCGCTGCAGTTGAGTTATATAGAAAATCCGTATTTATTGTACAATCAAGTTGCAATTAGAAACCCCATATGTCTGGACTACTTTTTCCTATGTTTATATTATACAAAATTGTGATATCTCACGACGTCATACACCCTAAATGCGACCGTGTATCTACCTTCGCTTTATGGAATTGCTCGAGCGGCCATTGCTGCAGCAGTAAGACTCAAGGAAACCAGCTCTTGGGTATTTTAAATGTGGCGAATTAGCAAGGAAAGTTTCGACTACATCCTTCCAAGAAGGAACACGGATGGTATATCAATGGCCAAATTTTAACGTGCGGGAAAACTTTTCGTCCTTTAAGGACTTATAAGGACTTTTGTCGGTTTACATGAGATAAGACTAAGGGTTGACGAATCGGACCAATGTTGTAGTTGCAAGATTATAGAAGAAGATTACGCACGCTTAGAGAGAGAATAAGACCATCTCAGCTCAGGTAAAGCTGAAGCATGACATCGAAAGGATTTTTTTTTGCACATAGCATCAGTAAAGTAATAGTAAACATAATTCAACTGAGTCACAATCCTTGACAATAGAAATAAGGGTAAATCATTGTTCAGCGTGCTATAAATAAATTTGTAAAGATTATTTTAAATAACGAATAAAATCATTCATACGCAATTTATTCACGAGTATTTCATTCGTGAATGAATTATTTGCGAATAATTATATTACAGACAAAATTTCATTCGAATAATTATCTAAACAACAATTTATTCGTATAATACCCAACTCTGTATGACTCATTATAATTCATTGCAAAGTCAAAAAATAGAGCACTAAAAACTAATGTTATTATACTCTAATGTAGAACTATTTGGTACTCCGCATATGCGAAAGACACGACGAAGCAATTAAATTATAACTTCCGCTAATGAGTTTTAAGATATTCGCACGAATGCTATAAAACTCGTATATACATACATATATGTGTGCGTAATTAAATAATTTTAGAAATATATATTTATATACATACATAAGAATGTATATGCAAACGTACATACATATGTGAATGAGTATATGAATCTTCATAACAAAATAAGAAAGACGAATTATAACACCTGCACACTTAAGCACGTATACATACAAACATACATATAAACGAAAAAATAACTAAAAAAAAATTAATATGTAGGTACGATCATAAAGTTGGCATATTTAAGCTGCTCTATTCAAGAAGATTTAAAAGATCTTTGACCTTAGTGTTCTTTCTATTATAAATATGTATCTACGTACGTACATATGTATGTATGTATGTATGTATGCAATAAAAATCAAAATTCTAGCTTGGCGCTAGTAATATTTCGCTGAATAAAAACCACTCTGCTATTCATACATCAAATGTCTTGAGACAAATGCGAGCAGAGGTTCATTATGGCTGCGTTTCTTTATACATTCCGGATAATCCCATTTCACAGCCGGAATAAACAGAATACGTTTGAAATATACGTTAACATATCATCAGGAACGTTCTAAAGAATAAGTAAACAAAAAAGTTTATTCCAAACGTTCAGAATGAATAAAGAAATTCAGCCTATGACTGTGAATTCGGAATTCAAAGACCTTTATTCAATGCCCACCGTTACGCAAGATGTAGAGACTTAACGGCGACGCTGATCGTGGACTATTTACGTCACTCATTTGGCCTCACCAATTCCACCTAAATCAGCACAATCTCCCTCGCCTGTGAAAATTAGTTTTTGCCATTAGAACCAAAACTGAAAAGCGAAACTCACTTCAAAATATTTGAAATCAATAACCACGTCTACACTCACATAACAGTAATTTGCAAAGATACGAAACCAGCGATACATACCGATTTATCAACTACTAAAGCCAAATCACTTAAAATTTATGTTTACAATAATCCTCTAGAAAGTAATAAACATTATTACAGCGTCCGACAAAATTAAACTTTTTTGTACCATAAAAAATCAATAATTTTCGGAAAATAGAGACAAAAAAGTACTCTAGATTATTGTTTTTCCAGGCTAAGTCTTTTGCGGATTTCATGGGGAAAAACAACACTTAACAACCAACCCCTAAGCTGAGCCGGTCATAAGAAAATTGCCTTCTGATTTTTAAACTTTATTAAACTTCGCATACAAGCGTTTTTGGGGTTACTGATTATGAATCTGATAAAGCGCTTGCATGAGGAGATTAGATGAATGGCCGTATACACCAGACAATTTTTGCTTTCAACAAAAAGTTGTCTGTAAAATCGCCTCATGTAAACAAGGTATGAAGTCAGTTTTAAAAAATTCGAAATCGCTGAACAAATACGGCGGATGGATTTTTGAAAAATTGCCTTTTTGAATTTTTGAATACTGACTTCAGTTTTTTACTCAGCCACTAAAAGAACCTTTGAATATCAAATTTTATGAAAATCTCAACGTTTTTTTTTTAAATCTATCGCCGTATAGAATGCGCCCATATGTAATTTTGAAAACTGATTTTAGTTTTGTTATCAGTGCCTTCTAGAACTTTAGGATATCAAATTTGATAAAGGTCTGGCAATATTTTAAGAACCTTTCCGCCTTATTGGATCCTGCCATTTTGAATTTTTAAAAACTGACTTAAGATTTTTAATCAGCAACGCCAAAAACCTTTGGCTATGTCGTTTAATAAAGTTTGAAAATTTACAAGCAGAGGGTTGTTTTCCTCCATGGAAATCGTATATGACTTGATCTAGAAAAATGGTAAAATACGGGTAATTTTTTTCTCTACTTTCCAAAAATGCATGATTTTTCATGGGTGCAAAAATTTGTGTAAAATGGGCATACCACCGCCCACTTATGTTTACAGGCGAGTAAGCGTATCAAGGAAACCGCTTTATCGAATTCTACCAAACCAATCCACGCAGATTGCTTGCAGAAAACATATTTAGTTGACGTCTGACTCTTTTCGCAGTGCAACTACATAAAATGTTCTAGAAAAACACTGAGTTATGGCAGTTAAATGATTTACCAAATTTTAAACTTTAAATATTTCGAAATACCCTGTATGCAACTTATTTTCGAAGTATGTATGTATGTACATATATAATGCCACAATAATAATTAAGACTGACTTAACAATCAAAAACCGCCGGTGTATATTTAAGCTTAATATCTGATTTTTATTTTTGTATATTTTATTTTTGTTGTCAACTTCTCTCCACAATTTTGCCAGTTCTTAAGTTTGGCGCAAAAAAAAACACGACAGCCAAAAGTTACATTCCAATCCACGAAGAAGTCCAACAAAAGCTATACAAGCAGGTACATACATGCGAGATTAAATCAAACAGCAGGAGGAAGGAAAAACTACCAATTTTGCAATTTTTTTAAAGGTGAGCTTCGAGTTGTCTCGTCGCTCACCGCGCATTCAGTGTGTGAACTCGATCTGCCACTTTTTACACAATTCGAATTCACAGCGGAATGCGAAGACGAAACAAAGCACGAGTGTACAAGTACAAGTGTTGCTTTAGCTTCAACCAAATGAAACTCTAATTTTATTATGTGTGAGAAAAGCAGTCATTGCGACACATCGAACTGATTTTTGCAGCGGCGAGCGACTCCATAGACGATAGTGTCAGCAAAAGGTTCTTAAGTGCAGATACATTTATATGGAGATATTTATTGTGCTCTTTGCTGTTCAGCAGCTCAGTTTCACTCTCCACAATTCATAAGATTGCGAAGAAACACACGCGTATATAATTGTTAACTTTTGCAATGGAATAAAAAATTTTTCAGACACACACTCTCCAATCTCTTACATGCTCTCAATCGCTCTTGTTGTCTCTCGTTCCAGATCAAATAACCGAGTGCCCGAACAAAGCAGCAACCTGGCAGACAGTGGCGATCATCTGCTCCACCACCTCCATCCACCATCGCCGCCACCACCTCATGGATAGCATCCACAGTGCGACCACACAAAAACACTCGCAGCACGATTGCACACCGATCGGCAAACGTCGTCTGCTCCAACGACGTCGTCATCATTGTTGAAGCAGCTTACCAATTTTGTTGTTGTCGTCGTCGTCGTCGTCGTCTACGTTGGTGAGCTGAGACCACAAGTACCACAGCAACTTGACGGAATTGTTGGTGTTGTTTTCGGTTGTTGATTTTCGACTTTTGGCACATTGCGACTTCATACCTTTCGTCAGTTGCTGCCCCATCAGTGGAGTCGACGAAGCAGTGGCAAAATTTTTTCAGCCGACTTTGTCAACGGGATTGGCGCTCCGGTGGCGCTAGTACGAATTTATCTACCGACGCGCGTTGTCCGGTGTTGCGGTGTTTCGTTTCGTATGTTGGGGGCAAGCAATATTTATGTACGCACGTTTTTTGTTTTTGCTTATCAAAGAAGCGAAAATGTCTTAAAGTATGCCGCGCATGCGTTAAGAAAAGTGAAAAATGTGAAAAGCTAATAAATCCAATACGAAGGAGCTACCGAATTATGTATGCTGGTTGTCAGTGTCATTGTTGTTAGTGTGGCGGCGTGAAAAATTGCTACAATATACTAACGAAGTTGGTGGTGCACTGAAAAGAGCATTTTGTAACAACGGAAATGTGCGCCAATGGATTTGTTTGTGTAGCGCAAAGTGTTTTTTTTTTTCTTTTGTTTCAGATTTTGCGAAAATTTTTAATGCGAGCTGCATTACATAAGCAACAAGCATAACAAAAAGCATAACTGAAGCTTTGGCAATATTACGAGTAACAAATACACGAGCTCAACTCAAAATAGTGTTCCCCAAGTGCTTCGAAACGAAATCAAAATCAAAATCAAAACCAAAATCTTTTCAATCAAAAGAAAGTGAAATACCACTCGCAAAAGTGTCGAAATCTCCAAGTGTATTCTTAGTACATAGTGCGTCAATTCCAAACGAAAATATTTTTATCGTCAACAACAACAACAGCACCAGCAACACCAACACAATGGGTACGAAATCGCCTGGCGGACCGCAACGTTGCCGTCTGATATTACAACGTTGTCTGGCCATACAACTGAGTAAGCCTGGCCATACGCCGGAGGACTTTTGGATGTACGATTCGGGTTATATGATTTTTCAGGTGAGTTGCTATTTAGCTAATTCATGAACACATACATACATACTTGCGTCGGTACTTAAAAGTGCCATTAAACACGTTTTAGCGACTTGAGTTATATTTACTTACCTAAATATGTAGGTATGTGTATAGCTAAGGATGTATGTACACATCTGTACATACAAACACTTTATTTAACTTTCTTTCTTTTTACGATTTAATTGTGATAAAACGCAGTCGTTGCGTGGAAGTCCAGTCGCGAACTGGCTTTCGATTTATGTCACACGTGAGAGATAGTGGTGCACGCGGCCTTGGCCCTTTTGACGCTTGCCCACTTGTATTGAGTTGATTTCGGGTATTTCAAATTGAAGTTAATAAAATTGCAATAGAGTGTGAACACAGCAATTTGAATAATTGCTTAAAGATAAAATCAACGCGTTTAATTAAGAGTACAGTAATACTCGTACAGGCGTGATATCACTACGTTAGTGTTTTAGCTTTTCGTAGCGAATTTGCGGCTATTTTATCTCAGCGAAAAAATAAAAAGTTTACCAAAAATCCAGGTGTGACTCAGAGAGTAATATAACTGTCGATCCGCTCTAATGATATAAAATTTGATATCAAATTCTTTATCGTTAACCAAAACTCCTCCAAAAACTCAAAGGATACCAAAGTTTGTGAATAACTTAAATCAAAAATTACCTTTCCGTGAATTTTAACACATGCATAAGAATGTGATTTGTATGGAATTAAATCCAATTAATTAATTTAAAATTTAAAAAACTAGTAATTAGGCGTAGACTAATTCCTTCACAGTTCGGTTATGTTAGGTGGCAGCACCGCGTAACCGGGGCTCACTAAGATAATTTGGAGTCGATTATGTAATTACGAATTCGGCTAATCTGAATGCCCCAGAGCTCCTCGGGGCTATTAAGGATGTGAGTGCCAAAGTACTTCACGCTGGTCACCTAAGAAGGTAGTGTTGAGGTGATTCCACCTCGTCATCTTGCAGGCAACTGCGACATTTGGGGTCCGATAATATGCTCAGCCTTACTGCATGAATACCGATTGGTTAGTGAACCGTTTAAATTCCCACCAAAAGCAAGAGCTGTGACGTTGTGAGTGTGACGAGTGCCTTCGATCGCCCCAGTCCACCCTTAGTCAGAAGAGCCTTTGCGATCGCTGAGCTGGCATGAGGCCCATCTATCCAAGAGTGTACCAAAAGTATTCAATGGAACCCCCTGCCGCTCTTTATCCGGCGGTAACGTTTCACGAGTTCCTTTCCCGACCAATTCGTCAGCTACATAGTTCCCCGCAATGTGGCTGTGACCCGGAACCCAAATAAACCTAATACATAACTATTACGATGCGACCGAGAGAGAGAAAGGGAGAGAGCACACATTCCTTAACCAAGTTAGAGTGCACCTGCAACGTAGTCAAGGCCCTGATAGCCGCATGGCTCACCTCCCTGACTGTCATAGGACTCCGGAGCAGTGAATCCCCCGATTCCTTGATAACTAGCAGCCACTTTCGTCTGGAATACACTGCAGAAGTCCGGGAAGCTGAACTTAGTGCTGATGGAAAGCTCTTGACAGAAGACCCCACCACTTCTTCTTCGCACTTGTTTTTACAACATTTCGTTCTATTAAAAACTGCTCTAGCTACAAACTGTACTTAGACTTTCCAAGATTTTCGCATAAGTAAACTCTCAAAAACCTGATGCGTATTCGCTATGTGGAGTCCAAAGCTGCCGTCTATATGGCCAATTATAATTTCAAAAATAGTCGTACATCGCGATCTTTTTCTGCAAGAGCTTCAAACTTCCACTGTTATGAGTACGTAATTTACCATGCGTACTTTATTCAAATGGCAGTTCTTTTTCAATCTCTTTTGTCTTTACTTTACGTATTTTTACTTGAAATATATGGTCGGCCGCTGTGGTGAAGTGGTAAGCAGTGCGCGCTTCCCCTCCGCAACGCCTGGGTTTGAACCCCGGTCAAAGCAACATCGTAAAAAATATAGAAAAAAGGTTCTTTCTTAACAGCGGTCGTCCCTCGGCAGGCAATGGCAAACCTGCGAGTGTATTTCTGCCATGAAAAACAGCATCTCATAAAAATACAATTGCCGCTCGGAGTCGGCGTAAAACTGTAGGTCCCTCTGCTTTGTGTGACAACATCTAGACGCACGCCACAAATCGGAGGAGAAGCTCGGCCAAAAACTAGCATATGTGTAAGCGCCAATCTATTACTGTTATTATTATTATATGGTCACCGTAGTTATGAGCCAAAATGTAAAACAATGTTAGGGTTTTTTACAAAACATCAAAAAACATAGAAATGATCTCTGCATACTGAATCAAATTTCTTTTTTTTTAATGATGGCGTTCTTCCAGCAAACAGTGTATATTCGAGAACGTGAACCGGTTTTGAACCGGAAAACCGCTCTTTTCTATTAATTAACTGAACCATTAACCGCACCGAAATTTTCCACAAATGTTTTTGATCCGAACCGAAAACCGAACCACTTTCTATAAAGATTGAAAGGTTCGTTTCAACCAATTATCAATAGATAAATGTATCAACTTTTTTTCTTTTTGGTAAACATGGTAATACCCACCATGTTTGTTTACCATGTGACAATATCAAATGTAAAGGCAACCCATCTCATTTGACAGACACTTGACCCGTAACCTTTCGCGTTGTTGCACTTGACACTTGACACTTAAACTTGCGCGTAATTTCTTTTATTTTTCGAACCGTTGAACCGAACCGAAACCCCGCTTCAAAGACCAAAAAAACCGCTTTGACGAACCGATCCAAAAGTGCAAAAACAGTTCGAACCGCTGAATCGAACCGCCAAAATAAACTTTTGGGAAATTTACCAATACTTTTCAGGCTTGTTGCCTTTGTTTTTTGTAGTCACTTCAGCCGTTACTTAAATGTCGTATTTAATTCTTTAATTTCTGTATCAGATCCCCTTTACGTGTATTGACATCGTGTTAGTTAGGAAATGGTAACCTCGTAGGAAATAGGAGTATGTAATAATGCCTTACCAGCAACTTACACTTCTTCCGCCGGTCCTTACCACTTCTCTGTCTAATCTCCATTTCTTTAACGATGGCGTTTCCGCCTTATTGAAGTAGGAATTTAGGATGTAAATTTGATATAGGACATAATTTTTAACCACTTTACCAAGTGAGGCTCTCGGAAATAGCTACGGCGGCACGGTTATTTGCAAATTTCAACGTGAAGCGTCATCGAAGGTGTTCATTTTGTACTTTACTAATACAAGATATTGGGTATGATAACAATTTTGGTACTGAAAGCTGATGAATTACCTCGTAAGATGGTTACCAGTGTGTAAGGTCCTTAAATATTTCGAGCTTGTAGTTGATGACTTAATGCACTAAATTTGCAAATGCAAGTTTTTGCATAAAAGAGATTCGCTTTGAATTGAAAATATACTACTATGGTTGGGAGATATGCAAACTTTCATTAATCAGAGCCATTGTGAGAAGTCTCAACATTATATTGATAAAAGTTTTTAATCCGACTAAGTTTGTTTAGACTAGCAGTTAATTTTTGTGGATACAATTCTAAAATATGGCGGAAAACCACTAAATATGTAACAACATCGGCGATCAAGCCCTCTTCTTAGCAAGTATTACTAACGTTTGAAATTTTGTGTATGTGTGAAACACCACTACGACTATAGCTTTATTCGTTATTCGAGCAAATGGAATACCCACTAGAACTTAAAGGGAGATCTCCCAATGTGAGGAATAAAAGAGTACTCCCTTTGGCCTGATTTCGGAGCAATAAGAGAGATTTGTCGGTTTTGACCTCCTTTATAACTCGCTTAGGAGTCAAATAGGAGATCTCCTAAGCGAGCAACAAACGAATACTCCCAGAGGCATGATTTTGGAGCAATAAACGATTTTTGTCGACTTTGTACTCCTTTATTACTCGTTTAGGAGCCAAACAGGAGATCTCCCAAGTGGGCAATAAAAGAATACTCGCTGAGGAATGATTTTGGAGCTATAACTGAGATTTGTCGGTTTTGTACTCCGTTATTACTCGCTTACGAGCAAAAAGCGATGTCTCCTAAGAGAGCAATCCAGGAGTATTCCTTTTGATTTATGGGGGAGCTATAGGCACCTCGTTCAAAAGAATTTTTGTGTTATTGGAAAAATTATCATAAGGAAAACTACAGAAAATATTTCATATAGAAACAATATAAGGAGGATGCAATAATTTAATGTCGATAGGACACATTTAAATGAAGGTGCGTCGGTATGTATTTCAACTTTTGTTTAATTTTAATAAATATTGTATTAGATACCGCTAAATACTTTTCAGATTTGGCAAATTATTAGGAGTGTCAGCACTTACGCATGACTCCGTGGTTTTAACGTTCATATCAAGCCGGTCCAGATCTTTTACTGGGTGACAAAGATATCGGATGGGCAAAGTCACCTACACATTAAAACAAGAAAGTTTCATACACTCCCTACTTGCGTGAACTCCTGAATACCCAAGCATCCCTGAAACCCAGGACATCATGTAGTTATCTTACCGTTTTATTATTATTCTGTTTTACTTTTAATGCATTTGTTCGCAACAGCAACTCCAAAATTAATCAATAATGTACAAGTAATAAGTATTATTTATGTTTTGTCTGATCTCGTACTTATAGGTATCAGTTAAGATCTTTTAATATTCTATACAAACATGTGTTTAAAAAATTAAATAAATAGATTGCGTAAATAGGCAATGAAAAGCTCTTTTATTACTCGTAGAAAAGGCTTTCGGGATGCCTCTAATGGGAGCACTCTCTTATTGCTCGTTCGGGAGGTATATGGGATGTTTTCTATGTGCACTCCCTTGTTGTCTTTTTGGGAGGTATAGTGGAGGTTTTTATGGGAGTACTCACGTATTGCTCCTTTAGGAGGTTTGTGGGATGATATTTCTGTGTGTGCTCCCCGATTGCTCGATTAGGAGGTAAATGGGATTACTCCCCTTCCT